TTTCTCACTTCCCTTACCACTGATACACCCTCGGTCCCTACCCCCATACAGACCCTCTCCACCTCTGCTTCAGACGTTGCCGCTGCCAAGGAATTTGACACCCTTCTTTCTTCCTTGCCGCCTAGCGTTGGTGCCCTCCTTCGTGAGTATCACGATGTTTTCCAACCATCTGTCTCCTACAACAACATTCCTCCCATGCGTGGTATGGAGCACCACATCCAGCTCGAGCCCAACTATCGCATTCAGAATCACGCCCGTTATCGCCTTTCGGTTCCCGAAGCCCAGGAACTCAAGCGCCAACTTGAGGAGCTGCTTCGCGAGGGTTTCATTAAACCGAGTACTTCCCCATGGAGTGCCCAAGTCCTCTTCGATCGCAAGAAGGACGACACCCTTCGTCTTTGTATTGACTACCGCAGTCTGAACCACTACACGGTCAACAATAGCTATCCCATGCCTCGCGTGGATGATCTCTTTGACCGCCTCGCCGGCCATCATTTCTTCACGAAGATCGAGCTTCGTAGCGGATATCACCAGATCCGCATAGCCGAGGAGGACCAGCCCAAAACCGCTTTTCATTCTCGTTTCGGGCACTATGAGGCTACCGTCATGCCTTTCGGTCTCCGTAATGCCCCCGCGACTTTCCAGACGGCTATGAACACGATGTTCCAAGACCTTCTTGAGGACTATGTTCTAGTCTACATTGACGATATCCTGATCTACAGTCGTACCCTAGAGGATCACCTGATCCACCTTCACAATGTCCTGCAGCGACTACGCGACCACGGGTTCTATGCAAAGTTTTCCAAATGCAGCTTTGCTCAACCCAAAGTCGACTTCCTCGGGCATCAGGTCTCCGAGCACGGACCCCACATGGACGACTCGAAGATTCAGGCCATTGTCGATTGGCCCACTCCTACCTCTCTTCCTGTGCTGCATAGTTTCCTTGGGTTGACCAACTCATTATTCTTCCCAGCTTACCCCTCTGACTCGCAGACGTCTACCTTTTCATTGGACCCCAGCTCACGAGGATGCTTTCCGCTCTCTCAAGCGACTTGTCACGTCAGCTCCTGTCTTACACTTACCCAACTACTCGCGTCCATTCATTGTCACCACCGACGCATCCGACTTCGCTATTGGAGTTGTTCTCTCTCAGATCTACCCAGCCCCCTCTACTTCTCCCGATTCCACAGAGTCCCGCCTCCCTCACATTCCTCGTTTCCCTCCTCCACCTCCGGCGACTACGGTTCATCTTGCACCCATCCAGCCCACCCCCTCAGGGGCCCTACCCTCTTATATTCCTGACGTCGCTGATGACGGTACAGTCGAGTCTCGCGATGGAGAGTGTCAGGTTGCTTATCTATCTCGACAACTACTTTCCGTTGAGTGTAACTATATTGCCGACAAGCGCGAGGTCCTTGCGCTGGTCTACGTTGTTAAGAAGTGGCGTCATCACTTGCACGATCACACTTTCACCGTTTTGACGGACAACTCTGTCTTTGCCGCCTTCCAGACGAAGCTTAAGCTCACTTCTCGTCAGGCTCCTTGGTGGCGTGACCTTTCCGAGTTCGATTTCACCATCAAGAAGATTTCCGACGAAAGCAATTGCATAGAAGATGCCTTATCCCGCCGCCCCGACCTTCAGTGCGAGGATCGTCAGCTATCTGCTATTTCAGCTCCCACCATCCACCCTGCCTTTCTGGATGAGTACCGCCGCGCATACACCCAGTGCCCTGAGTTTCAGTCCATCTACGCTGACCTACAGGCTGACAAGTCCGTCTCTAACTTCCAGCTTGATCCCTCTGGACTCCTATACTGGCTCGGTCGCCAAGGTACCCATACTCCTCGCTTACGTGTGCCCTCTACTGGCCAGCTCCGCATTCGGGTTGTTGCTGAGTGTCACGACCAGCGTGCCGTCGGTCATCTCGGTGTTTTCAAGATATTTGACAACCTCTACCTCCATTACTACTGGGAGCACCGTCGTCCCTTCACTAAGGAGTACGTCCGCACCTGCAGGATCTGCAAGGAGGCCAACATCCCCAACCACCCCCCCTACGGTCTTCTTCAACCCTTACCTATTCCCATTCAGCGTTGGACTTCTGTCTCCATGGACTTCATCGGTCCTCTTCGTCCCCCTACCCCACGAGGCCACGACGCCATCTTCGTCATTGTCTGCCGGTTGGCTAAGCATGTTCACTTCCTCCCTTGCAAGTATGCTAGTTCAACCAAAGACATCGCCTCCCTATACTTCAACCGTATTGCCATTCATCATGGTCTTCCCACTAGCATCGTCTCTGATCGGGATCCTCGCTTTACTTCTCATTTCTGGCGTGGACTCCATGAGATCTATGGTTCCGAGCTTCGCCTCTCCTCCTCCTATCACCCCTAGTCAGATGGACAGACCGAGGTCACCAACAAAATTCTTGGGAGTATCCTCAAGAAGTTTGTTGAGAATGACTCTGATTGGGATCTCCACCTTGCTCACGCAAAGATTGCTTATAACCATGTTATTTCACCTACCACTGGCATGTCTCCCTACTACTGTGACTTGGGATACCATCCTCGTGTCCCATCTGACCTTCTCCGTCCATCTCAGATCCATCCCGACACCAAATGCCCTGCCCTCGATGACTGGGTAAACGAGATGGATGCGCTTCTTAGCAAGCCTCGTGAGAGCATTGCTGACTCCCAGGCTCGCATGGCCACTCGCGCTAACCGCTCTCGCACCGACCATCCGTTCAAAGTTGGCGACGAGGTTCTTGTCGACGCACGTCACTTCCAGCCCGAAGCTGACACGCTTTGGAAATTCAGACGTCGATATATTGGACCATGCAACATTCTTGCACCCGCCGAAGCCAATCATGACTGTCCAGTGAGCTTCAAATTGAAGCTCCCCGATTCGATGTACCGCGCTAACTTACATGACGTATTCCATGTATCTCTTTTGCGCCCCTTCAGACGGTCTCCGCCAGAGTTTCACGGTCGACCTTACCCTCGTCCTTTTCCCATTATCATTGAAGGTCACGAGGAGTTTGTCGTCTCTGATATTGTATCCCGACGTATGACTGATGGTGACCCTCCCCGCCTCGAGTACCTCGTTCGATGGAAGGGTTACCCTGACGAGGAGTCTACGTGGGAGCCTCTCAAGCACCTGAAGCATGCAATGACTTTCGTGCGTGCCTACGATCGTGCTCATCCTTTCCCTTCATCATCATCCCCTCCTCCTTCTTGTCCTTCTACTGACCCATCTACTTCAGCGACCACTAACATCCCGCCTCCTCCATCGATGGGTCCTCCTGCCCCAGGTCCTCTTTCCCTTGTGGACGTGGTTCCGCCTGTTGTTGCAGTTGAGTCCTCGCGCCCTCAGCGTACCCATCGACTTCCTTCTCGTTATCGTGACTGATCTATACCCCCCATATGCGCTCTATCTTTTACCATTCCTGGACACTTATGCAACAGCTCCTGGTTTCAGCTTCTACATTCGGCTTCTACATCGACTTCCGATCTCAGTGCTTCTCTTCAGTACCAGAGTCCATCTCGCATTGTTCCGGACATCTACTCGGTTTCTGCATTACTCCTACTTCATCCTGGCTACCCGACTCCAATTTGAAGACTCATTAATTGGACTACTTCACTTTTTGGGCCACGGATTTCCCATCATTCCCATGTATCCTTACCCTCCAGTCGCATGATGACCCCTATTTTCCCTGTCTATGTGGGTGTGTCCGTTTGCCGCCCTTCTGCCTTACCTTATGCTGCACGCCCTCCTCTGGAGTGTACGTTTTCTTTGCTCGCGGCTTTTGGCCACATGTCTATGCCGACATAGCCCTCTCTCCCCTTCCAAGCTCACCTTATGTGTGCTCCCTTGTGTGAGTGCCCTTCCCATTTCAGCTGGCGGTACCCGTTTGATGGTTTCCATTGAGCCCGGTGTCGTGCTGTTACTCTCCCTCTGAGCCTGATGAGCCTTACCTGGTTGTGTGGGTGCCCCCTTGGAGTTTACTCTGAGAGTTGTACCGGCCGCCTTCCCACCCATTCCTACCCCTGCCATGCGACTGATTTCCCTTCTCTTTTGTTCAGGTATTGTGCATTGTGTACAGGGCACGTGAGACTGTGCCACATTCATTTTCGACTTAGTACATTGGTTTAGTTATTCTTTGGCCTTTAGGGCCCTGGTGTTGATTTATATTCAACCTATTTGGCTCATGAGACATTTTTCTCTTTCTTGGCCGACACATGTCAGACATTTTTCTACTTTTTGGGTCGACACAGACCAGACATTGTTGTATAGATTAGGCTTGAGGCTTAGTCTGCATTGCATCCCTTTTCCTACATGGAGCCTGCTCCGCATCTAGGATTGTTTCTTTTGCTGTTCCTTTTGGGTTTCCGCTATTTCAGCGGATAGCGTGTTTGATGTATTGCTTGATCCATTCACAGGTCCGAGGATCGTGTAGCGGTACCCCTACGGCCCGACAGTGAGGCCGGACCAGTTTCCGGCCGTCGGCCTGACCCTGGTTCGATACCAGGTTGTTCTGTACCTGGACCTAGGCTGGTATATCACTTCGGCCTAGGCCCAGGGCGGAAGGTTGGTTCATTCAGTTGTTCATTCTTTCATTGAGTCGGACTGTACCTTCACTCAACTGCTGCTTCTCGTGTGTGTCCATCTCCTCTCTCTCTCTCTCTCTCACCATCTCCGCACGTGTCGTCTGCACGTGCGTCACAGGGTTATTTGTTCTTCTTTGTGGAGACGGTCCATCGTTTGATTCGATGGGATAGGACTCCAGTTCGTGAGTGCCTGCGAAGGCACTAGGACAGCTGATGGCCTGACATGTGAATGCGAGCGCGAGGGGAGCGAACCGCACGGCAGGCCCGACAGTCTTGGGACCCGATTCTTCGATACGATTGAGGAGGACAAAAGGTGTTGACGCCGTCGTTCGGTGAGGTAGATCAAACAAGGGAGATGGCGGGGTTTGACCTGTGAGGTGACTGAACGAGAAGGGCAGGATGGTGGCATCCTGTGGTTGGCACATAGCAGGCGTCCTTGCGTTCTGAACAGCAGCAACAGCACGAGACTACATAGGTAAGTAAACGACTGAAGACTATAAGGGGTTGTGGATGATGGAGGGACGAAAAATGGTGGGTGCTTCACGCTCCATGCTCCATGCTGGTTGGCGACGTTTGAAGGAGTTGACGGCTTCTCTCTTCTCGCCAGACCTGGCTCGGTGTGACATCGATGGGGGGACGATCTCGCACGTTGGCTGGGTGAAAGCAGTCATGCTGGAGATGTTGGAGGTGATTGGGGAACTGGAGGAAGAGTGTTATTTCCACCCTGCTGCTCTTTCTGATAAAAGCCAGATGGATACTCTCATGAGTGAATGTAACGATTCGTTCGAGAAGGGGTGCACTCAGGGAGTTTTACTTGTGAAGAGCTGGGGCGGTGAGCTGCCAGCCAGTATGGTGGCGGATGGGCACTTTCTTCTCGATCGACCGCCGTTACCGTCTCAAGCGGAGTCCACATCTACACTGTCAATGGAGGTGAGTGATCCCCTCTACACCATGGATTTTCTTGATGACCCGACATCAACAATAGGGGCGACATCGCAGATTACCACTGCTATACCAACTACAATATCTGCAACTGCGACGATTCCGCTCTGCACCATGGGTATTCTCGACAACATGACATCAACAACGGGAGCGGAATCTCGGATTATCACTGCTATATCGATTACAACATCTGCAACTGCGAAGATTGCTCCCGTTTGCATCACGGAGATATCAAACGAACCGGCGGCTTTTTTCGTTCAAAGGGTTGCTCCGGTGGGTATCTCGATGATATCTAATGGAGCCAGGGTGCTTAATAATCAAGCATCTACAACATCATCCAAAGAAGCGCCGCCAACTGCCACGGGTATTATGAAGACATCTGATGGGCCGGGTGAGCTTCTCGATACACCAAAAACGACGCAGGCTCTGGTCGACAGCAAGAAGACATCTGACGGGCCTGCTGAGCTTTTCAATTTTCAATCAACGACTCAAGCTCCCAGGGGTATCACGCAGAGTGCTGAGAGGGGGCGGATTCTGTATCAACAATTCTTCCTACTATCGGTGGGTGAGTATTTTGAATCATTTCAGGCAACGCGACTTGGGCAGGAGAACGAGTGGTTGATTGCATGGGGGGCTGCTTGTCTGTGTGCTCGTTATATTGTGGGGGAACAAGGAGCGGGACGGTGGCGTGAAGGGGTGGGATAGTGAATGCCAGATTGCCAGATCGGATACGGTTGCATGTGATAGGCTAGCTCCTCCGTATCTGAATCTGGCCACGTGGCTACAGGGTGGATGAGGTTTGCTCACGTGTTTGAACAGTAATTTTCCACAAGGGAAGGGATGGTGAATGCC